AAGGGCACACGCCAATGGCCGTGGTCACCCTGCATTCAGGCAGCCCAGATCCTTCACTCTGTTCCCGTGTCCTGCTAGCTGGGGATATCCCTTTCGTGACACAGAATCTTGCAGCAGAACAGTTGGGTGTGGCCGCCCGCTAGAAGGAAACCCTTGCAGCGGGGAGGGATGCTCAGGCAGCACGTCAATGGCGCAGGGAGCGCTTTGGGGAGCGTTTCCATCAGGCCAGCAGTTGGAGAGTTGGAGCAGAATGGCGAGAAGGTCCCCACCAGGCCCGCGTGGGGGTGGGTGACGATGGGCGGGGCCCCTGGGCAATGTCTGGCTGTTCAGGGGGCTGGAAACACACGTTTGCAGGTCTGAACGGGGGGACGCACGGAACGGCCGTGGAGAGGCACAGGCTGCCAAATGGGTGTTTTCCTCCGGGAGAGAGAGAACGGCACTGCACGCCTCTGCTCGGGAATCCTGCCGCAGTTCCCCCGCGCTTTTAGGAAACATTCCTCATTCGGACCCGGGCTGCAAGGCCGGGTGTGTTTCCGTCTGCACCTGGCGCGCCCGCTGCCCACGCACCTTTAGTTCCTTACCCTGCCCCAGCTGGAGTCCCAGGACAGGCCCTCCTCTGAATTCATGGGCTGTTCCGTAGCACAGACCCGATTTATGTGAAATAATAATAATTCATCTTCTGATCGCCGTGTCTTTCTATATGCTGAGTCCTTGTTTACAACTCCGTCCCCAGCTCTGAGCACCGCGCCTGGACGTCGTGGGGGTCACCAAGGCATTGGTGAATGAATGATGGAAACAAATGTTTGCAGTGAACGAGACTGAAAGTAGTTCTCTAATTTGTGGAATAATTTTGGCCACTTTGAAAGGTCCCTTTGAGTGTTACTTCTCCGTGAATTTATCACATGTGCAGCACAAATGGAGAAACAAAGCATGGTCGCTGGGCAGCTTAGTGACCAGATGCACTGCCCTTCATGCACACCGCTGTGTGAGTCCCCGACTGTCTTCAGTCCCGCCCGTGAGAGCACCTTCCCAGGGTGACTTTGACCCTGGCTGGGAGGCGGCCAATGCCTCCTCCTTGAAGCCAGTTAAATGTTTCTTATTTTGAGTGTTCCTTTGATTTCTTTCTTTGTTTTAACCTGCACACTTCTCTATCAGGCTCTGGGCTTGTTTTGTGTGCTGAACTCTTCTGTTAAAACATGTGATTGAAAAACCAAAACTCAATTATATACATGAGAGTTTCTTTATTTAAACATAAAAGGAATCATATTGTATATATCTTTCTGCAGTTTGTTTTTTCATTCAGTAATACTTATTAGAGGTGTGTTTTGGGGATGTGCAGAGTAGAGCCACCTAAACTATGCTAACTACGCTCACCCCTCTAGCTTTCGATGGCAGAAGACTTATTTAACAGCCCGGCTGGTATGACCGCCACCTCCATTCCTGTGCGAGGAATGCTGGCCGGTGCCTGAGGCTGGTGGGACACTCTTGGGAAACCCTCACATTCTTCTTATTGTGAGTTGAGTTGTTCATTTACCAAGAGTCAGTTATTTGTTTGTTTGTTTGTTCCCAGCCCAATTATGCCGGTGACAGGTGTTAGTGTGATTACACAATTTACTTGAAGATCACATAAACTTATGAAATACGAGTGCGAAAAGAGAGCAGTCCTTTTTATGAAAACTGAGCGGAACGCTTAAGAAAGTCTCAGCAGTGTGTTGCTAAAAAGCAGTCGGTGTCGTGGATGAGAGAACTGTAAGAGAACAGGGAAAAGCCACGTGCATCCGCGGCCTTCCGGGGGTGTGCAGGGTACGTGAGGACCTCCTGCCTCAGCCTCCCAAGTAGCTGGGACTACAGGCACACGCCACCATGCCCGGCTAATTTTTTCTATATATTTTTTGCCGGCCAATTAATTTCTTTCTATTTTATAGTAGAGACGGGGTCTCACTCTTGCTCAGGCTGGTTTTGAACTCCTGACCTTGAGCGATCCTCCTGCCTCAGCCTCCCAGAGTGCTAGGATTACAGGCGTGAGCCACCGCGCCCGGCCTCTTTTTCTTTTTGATGATTCCCTCCTTTAATACACTAGTGTTTGGGTTTAGCAGCCAACCACTGGCTCTGATGGCCATGACGTGGCTCCATGACGTGGTAGACCCCCTGGCTGGAGTGGCGGAAGTGGAGGCCCTCTCTCATTTTCACTCTTTTTTTTTTGGCATATTATGGGGGTACAGATTTTAAGGTTTCAGTAAATGTCCTTTCCCCCCCTCCCCCCACAAGTCTGAGTCTCCAGCATGACCATCCCCCAGATGGTGCACATGTCACTCATTATGTATGTATATACCCGCCCTCATTTTCACGCTTAAATGCAGCACAGGAGCAAGCAGTCTTACCCGGGACTCCTGTGCAGATGAGTGGCATCTGCGTCGCTGGGCGTGGCATTCTCAGTTTTAACAGCAGCTGGAGTTGGTTGATTTTGAAGGTGAAGACTCGCAGGCTGGGAGCTCTGTGAAGACAGGAGCTGAGTATTTTACCTGTGAATGAGGGTTTCAAATAGCGAGTGAATGCTCAGATACTCCGCCAGGGCCTAGATCTGTTTGTTTAGCAAGCATTTCTCATGCCCCAGCTGTATGCCAGGCACTGTGTTAGGCACCGAGGGTGGGAGATTGGTAGCATGGGGTGCCCGATCTTGAGAGGCAGGGAAAACCGTTCTGTACTTGGGAGTGGGGACAATAGGAGTGCGGGTTTCTGGGCCTTAGTCAGAGGGTAGTATTCTCCCCATCTTTATTAGAGTCTGTTGCCATAACAAAAATACCATAGACCGGGTGGCTTAAACAATAGACATCTGTCTTCTAGTTCCAGAGGCTGGGTGTCCCCGGTCAGGCTGCCGGCTGGGTACTGGTGAGGGCTCTCTTCCCGGCTTGTGGACGGCCGCCTTCTTGTTGTGTCCTCACATGGCGGAGAAAGAGAAAGCTCTGGTCTCTCTTCTTACAGGACATTAATCCCATCCGTGGGGGTTCCACCCTCATGACCTCATCTAACATGTCCTCCCAAAGGCCCCACTTCCACATACTGTCACATACGGATTTGGGGAGAGCAGCACCATTCGGGCCATAGCACCTTTCCCAGCTCAGAAGATCACAGAGAAGGACCGGTTTACAATGGGACAGGGCGTGTAGGTTGACTTGTGGCTTCACTCATCGAGGGGCTGGGAATTCTCTGTCCTGGCCTTGTGAGAAGCTAGTTCAGGGGACCATTCCAAAGAGTGGTGGTCTGACCACCACCGGCTGGAGCCTGCAAGGTGGCAAGGGCGCAGACCTGGGGTTAGGGCACCTTGTGCCACTCCTGGTTTTGCCTGCTACTTGCCGTGTGACCTTGGAGAAGTTGTTCCACTCGGAGTGGACCCATCTGGTAGGTGGGCTGGGTCTGGCTTTGGGAATCCGAAGACAGTGGGGTCCTGAGATGGCACAAGTTTCGTGGCCATCCTTGCCTTGAGCAGAATCATGCTCTCACCTCCCCTCTGCCCCCCACCCTGATCACGTCTAGCGCAACACAACAGCCGGAGAGCCCTCTTTGTTGACCCCATGAGAACATTTGGGAACAGCCACCTCTACCCCGTAGACTGCTGCTTATTGCTAAGACGTTGCATTGGCTGCCATTCCCAAGTCCAAGTTCAAGGCTGCTCAGGACTTAGGTGCTGTCCTCCTGGGCCCTGCTGAGTGTGTCGTGACCTGCTGCCTCCTCCTAACAGAACCGCAGGAACTGCCGTGCTGAAAGGGAGGGAGGCTGGGGCTGTAAGATGGCCTGGGTCCACAGCCTGGCTTTCTTTCGCTCTTGACTTGGGGCATGTCACTTCCTCCCTTGGTGCCTCAGTTTCTCCACTTAGAGTTAAGTTCTGCACCAGCCACTCTCTTGGAACGGTGCACTGCCTATCAGGCCGAACAAAGGTGGGCTTTAATTATCTGAGATAAAGAGAAGTTCTTATTTGGCTCAGTCAATCTGTCCTGCCAGGGAAATAAGTAGGTTTGACTCATTGTTTAAAAAATTGACCTCTGCCAATCCAGCAAAGACCCCTGAAGTCCCTTCTGTTTCAACTTCTGCTCTCTCTAAAGAAGAGGGTTTACCGAGTTAATTGCTGGTATGAACGATACTGCGGGGGGAAAGGTTTATCCTACTTAGGAGAACGCACCTATTTTAAGGAGCTTTAGCAGATTTTTCTTTGCATCCACCTGGCAGGAGAAATCTTCCCTGTGAATAAGCCTGCTTGGGTTCCCCATTCCGCTCAGCAAACAGCCCGCCGGCTCAGGAGAGGAGGGAGGGGAAGATAGGGCAGGCATTGGACAGGGGACCCCCCTCCCCCATTATTCTGTCTTCCATGGGGTTCCCTGATCCACGTGTGCCTCCTGCACAGTGGGTCTGAATTCGTGGGAACAGACTCCTAAGTCTGCACACACGTCCCTTCTAAATGTGGGTACTAGAGGGGGGGAAAGAAATACAGTTCTAAGACGAGACTGTGGCTGTGTGTAAGATACTGGGTTTGCTATTGCAAAGTCTCCTTGGCGACATGTGTGGCGGACCTAATTAATAATGTGAGAGCATTATTTTGGAAGAATTACCCATAGGCCTGTTGCGTTCTCAGGGTAAGTGTGTTTGCGTGTGTATGTGTGTGCCTATGTACAGGAAACCTCTTGTTTGTAAACAATTCCTTCTCTAGACAGCCAGCAGCTGCCTCGTAGGCCTCTCCGTGGCTCTCGGGACACCTTCTTGTTGCATCTCGGAGCCTAGGGGCTCCCATTTCTGCTCTAGTTCCAGTGCACGGTGCCGGGCCTACCCAAGGGATGTGTGTGTGTGCATGTGTGTGTGCTTATGTATGATTTGTATATTTATGCACGTGTGTGGAGTATTGTGTGTATGCACGTGTGTGCACATGTATGTGTGGAGGGGTATATGTGTGTGGATGCATGTAAATGTGTGTGCACCGCGCGTGTGCATGCGCATGTGTGGAGGGCTGTGCGCCTGGTCTGCAGAGCTGAGTAGCGTCATGAGTGGTGCCTAAACCCTTCTCTTGTCCACAGGACAAAGTTCAGGCCCTCATTTCCTTGGCAGAGGAGGCTGAATTTGGCCCAAGCCTTGCATTTTCATCTCCTCCAGTGCCTTACCAGGCACCCTGTGCTCCGGAAACAAACGACCTTTTGCTGTTGCCCAAGGAGCCCACCATTGTGTGCTCTCCCAGGCCTTTGAAGATGCCAGCCCCTCGGCCAGGGATCCCCTTTCTTCCCTCTCTCCCGGCCCGGCTCCGGGCTCCGATGGCTGTGAGCCCCTCCCAGGCCTGCGCAGGCTGAGTCCTCCCTACCGGGCTCCTCGGCTTCTCTCGTCCGTTTGAGACGCGAGAGTCACACGGACCATCGTGACTTGCTCAGGCTACGCGGTGCGTCGTGGATCTGCGATGCTCGCCATAGAACGAGGGCAAGTCACCGGTGGCTTAACGGATCTGCTTCAGTTCTAGAAACCAAACCCTCCTTGGCACTGTTTCCCCAGGATGGTGGCTTTCGAGCTTGAAGTGCCCAACTTGCTCGGGCGTAGGAGCCCCCACTTGCCCTGCCCGTGCCCCAGGATCTTTGCACAGGATCTCCAGGTGCGGTTGCGAGGCTGAGACCCAGCCGGATGAGAGAGCGCAGGGTCCCCGCATGCCTGGCAGAGAGTTCCTAAACCTGCTGCAGGCGGTGTCACCCTGTCACTGCAGGTGTACCTTGTGAACGCAGGGAGACTCCGCCATGACCTACATTGGAGGAAGTGGGCCGGGGCGGTGGGCGGGAGGATCGCAAACGCAGGTGATGCTCGGTGAAGACAGTGTCGGGGAACATCACAGCCGACAGCCAGGGATGAAAGGCATTTGATTTATAATAGACTCTCAAATTCGCCCTCGTTCTTATGAGTTATAATTTTTCCTGAAACCTCCTGGGGGTGGGGATCCTGTCGCCTGGGCCCGGGGCGGGAGGCAGGGAATGGCAGCCGGGCAGCGAGGAGCCCTGATCCCTTCCTCGGAGTCAGGAGCAGACAGACCTGCCCTGCTTCTTCCCAGGCACGGGCAGGGGACAGGGGAGGAACACAGATGCCCGGCTGGCTGGTGGCAGAAGCTTCCTGTCCATGCCAGGCGGCCAGAGCTGGCATTCAGGGGCGGATGGTCAGTTTAGAATGGAAGAATCTGGAAGCACGCTCAGAAATCAGCCCAGAGGGAGGAGTTTTCCTTTTTATTACTGTTTTCTTCAGGCTTGGTGGGGAAGTGACAGAGGGTCTGAGTTGCATGCCATTCATTCATTCATGCATTCATTCATTTACTCATCTAACTAATATTTCCTGAGGGTCTGTGTCCCAGGAACCCTAGAAAACACGGGATATGAGCAAGACCGACTGTGTGCGTCCTCCCTCAGGCCATGTGCAGCCTAGTGGAGGACCCGGGTGATTAAGGAGAGTGAGGACAAAGTGCTGGTCACTTGTCACTCATTCATTCACCTGGTGTATACTGAGCACTGTGAGCTGGGCCTCCTTCTAGCCCTGCTGTCCAGTGTGGTGGCCACTGGCCGCATGGGACTATTTGCATTGAATTAAAATTAGACAAAATGGAAAATTCAGTTCATTAGGTACATGGGCACAGTTCAGTTGCTCCGTAGCCATGTGTGGCTGGTGGCTCTTGGGTTGGACTGTGCAGACGTGGGACATTTCCCACATCGCTGAGGGTTCCAGCAGACTGTGTGGATCGGGCACTGGGTTATAGAGGCCCCCTGCCCACGGTCCATTATAGGACAGGGCTGTTCGTGCCAAGATGGGGCACACAGAGGAGGGACAGCGGAGCCGTACCTGGGCTTCTGGAGGCAGGGAGGTTCCAGTGAAGCCGGAGTCAGATGAGGAGGGTCTGGGACCAAGGAGGAGGGGAGCAGCGTCCCAGGTAGAGGAAGGACACGTGCCAAGGCCTGGCCTCTGGAAAGAGAGATGGAAGGTGGCCAGCATGGCTGGATCCTGTGCCCTGTGTGTGTTTATGGGGCTGAGGCTGTGGGGCTGAGCAAGGGCGGAGTGTGCAGGTGGCACAGGCCTTGCAGGCCCCTCCCCAGGCTCCCTGCTGGGCAGGTAGAGGGTCTTTGCAGACCGTCTCTAGCCCCAGGCGTGCTGGGTGGAGGGTCCCGTAGCCAGGGCTTAGACCAGGGACAGCCAGCTTGGAGGAGGGTCTGGTTTGAGGGCAAGGCCGGAACGCCTGCCCAGAAGGGGAAGCCAGGCCTTGCAGACAGACTTAGTCGCTCTGGGCAAAAGCCTGGGGCGTCTGGTGGGGAACTGGAGCGGGAAGAGGAAGAGGAAGGAAGTGGTCTGCTCAGAGCTGTCTGCAAGGCCCAGACGAGAGCATGTGTGCACTCAGCGCACCCAAGAAAACAGCTCGGGAAGTGGCCCCTTCCCTCTGGGAAATGCAAAATGAGGGAGAATTCGGAGAGGCGGCTTGCAACCATGGGCGGAGGCCGTAGGCCGGGGGCTGGCTTGGGCCCCAGGGTCAGGTTCCGTGGGAGGAACCGAACGTACAGGGATCCATCCTGACCTGTTCAGCTCTGCTCTTCCCTGACTGTCACCTGAGCCGGTTGCAGCCTCCTCTGCAGTTGGTGACAGTCCAGTCATGCTGTAAGGCTGCAGGAACAATTTCAAGATTGTAATAGCAGCTGGCGTTGATCTAGGGCTTTCCTTGAGCCAGGCAGCGTGCTGCAGTCTTCCCACGGAGTCTCACCTGCGCTGCTCACACCTGAGGCCAGATCAGTCTTTACCGTGGGGACCGTCCTGTGCGTGGAAGGTGTTTAGTGGCATCCCTGGCCCAACCTGTTAGATGCCAGCAGCACCCTCCTGCCTAGCTTGTGACAACCAAAAATGTCTCCAGATGTGGCCAGATGCCCCCAGTGGAGAATCACTGCTCTACACGCACTGGCCCATTCATTGTGTCAACTCGTTTCGCACACGAGGGTCGGCTGGTGCCAGAGCGTCACCCTCGGTGCTGGGGTCTGGGCCCAGGTGTCTCCTTGGGCCTGCGCGCTCAGCTGCTCGTCCCCGCACGGCCCAAGGCCAGCGCGTAGAGGCGGTCAGGGGGAGGGGCTTTCCCGATGATCAGTCCCTGGCTTATTCAATCAGCAAACCAGACCCTGAGTGCAGGAACGCAGGGGTGAGGAGGACCCAGCTCCTGACGGACCCGACGTAGCCCCGGGTGACCAGCTGGGGGCCGAGGGAGCCGTTTGTGCTTCCTCTGCAATGATTAACCCGGCTTAGCCGGTAAACCAGGCGACAGTCAGAACCCTACCCTGGAACGTGCCAGGCTTGCAGACTCGGGGCCGTTTGTTCCACATCTGCTCTTTCTTCATCGGACTTTGTCACCCCACAGGTCTGGAGCCAGCTGCGCTGAGGGCCGTTGGGAAATGCTTCTTGGGTGGATTCCTCCCACTTTTCCTTGCCAGCCCTGGTCTGCCGCACGCACCCCAGGAAACCATCCTACGTTGAGGATCTTTCTTGGCTTGGCTTTGCGGTGTGTGTGTCGGGGGGGGGGCGTGGGTGTCGTGGGATGTTGAAGAAGCGGCCCTGAGTGAAATTCCAGTGGTCCCGAGAGGCAGGGCTGAGACCTCCTGTTTGTTCGTTTGTCTTTGCAAATTGCACCATTGGTGTTGAAATTGCCCACAAAGGGCAGCGGAGGCGAGAACTGGCCTTTGCTAAACCTGGCGGCCGAGCAGGCAGAGTGCTGGCTGCTTCCCCTGCAGGTGACTGCGAGCCTGTTCCCCCTGTGTTGAGAAACTGCGTATGTGCGTGCATGCGAGTGTGTGCGTATGCACGTGTGTATTTACGTGTGCATATATGCAGTGTGCTGTCTATGTGCACATGCATGTGCATATGCATGTGTGCACATTTTGTGCTGTCTGTGTGCATATTTAAATGTGCTCACCTGTGTACACATGTGCATTCACATTTGTGTGCCAGTTCGCATATGCGTGTGCAGGTGTGTGATTCCCCCCACCCGTGTGGCTGCAGGACTGAGCTAATACACGCCAAGTACCCCGAGCACGCCAGTGTCACCTCCCCCTCTCCTCCCTTTCTCCGTCACGGCGGATGCAGAGAGACCTGGCTTTGCCACCCGGCTTTGCCAGTTACTGGCTGTGTGACCTGAGGCTGCTCACGCACACTCTCTGAGCCTCAGTGTTCTCTGTGGCGTAGGAGAATAGAAAACGGCAATGGCTTGGAGTTTGGGCGAGGGTCATGGGTCACAGGCGTGTGCATGGCTGGGGGCCTGGCTCCAAGGGGACAGTTGGTAAATGCTGCCCTCCCAGCTGTGGGGGCTCCGGAGGGGCAGCGAGGGGTTTGGTTGCTTCCTTCTGCTGACCCCCGCCTTCCACTCTTGGCTCTGAAAGCTCGGCAGCCTTGGGCGGGATGGTGCGGACGGGGCTCGTCCCATCAAAGAATGTCTGCCCGGCCTCCACCCTCTGCGCAGTTCCTGGAGAGACCAGGACGGGGTAGGCTGTAGAAGTTACTAGAAGGTTGAAGTCAGGGGCTCCAGGGACCCAGGCAGGTGACCACAACTCTGTCTTCCTGACCGAAGCTGCCGTCCTGTTCCCTGGTGACAGCCCCCTGGGTTCTCCTTACTTGCCCAGGGCAAAATGAGCCCTTGGCCCATTTCGTGCCCCTCCCCAGCTCTGTCACATACATCTGGAAGGTTCTGAGTTACCATGGGCAACCAAAAGCCAGGAAGGCAGGAGTCTTTTCCCTGCCTCCCCACTGTTTTCTGATGAGTCCCTCCTAGTTAATTAGCGAGTAACGAATGGGACACTAAAGCTCTGGAGAAATCCATCAGCTTCCCAGATTCCCGGCCCCAGACCCGGCAGAGGGGCCTGGCAGAACGGCAGCGAAGAGGGCCAAGGTACCCTGGGCATGTCGCCGGCGGTGCTGGCGGGCTGCAGTGTGCGCCTCGGAGACACCCTGGGTCGCGTGGGAGGTGTGGGGACCTGCTCCATCTTCCCTCTCCCCCGCGCACTGCCCGGAAGAAGCGGTTCCTCTCACAGTCATTCAGCGACTAAGAACTTCCCACATCTAAGGTGGAAAGTGTCACAGGACCTGGGGACATTGTAGGAGTCTGTGGCCAGGGCGGCATCTGCTTCCAGAGGTGGCTGACGGGGTGCTCCAGAGGGAACGCCGACCTCCAGAAGTTTCCAGGCAGAGTGGTCGGGACCATTCTATCAAGGGGCCCGGTCCCCTGCGGGGAGCAGGAAAGGCTCCTCCCAAGAAGTGACTTGTCCGCTGCTTTCGGGGCACGCAGGATGTGGGGGATGAGTTGGGGATGAACAATGTAAAGGCCGTTGCCCGGCCTCGGGGTCCCAGCACCCCGGCCCTGCACCCCCTGCTGTGTCAGACTCACTCTATGTCTTAAAGTCTCTTGTGGTTTCGCCTGTCCCGACTGTGGCTGGCTGTCCAGCCACTTTTCTGGGTGGTGGAGGGGACAGACGGCTTCCTCCTCGTCCTGGTGTGGCCACTGGAGCCTCCCAGAGGCCAGGCGGCCCCGGCTGCAGGGGTGCGGGGCATCGGAGCCAGGACCGTATTTGCACGAGCAACAAAGTTGGAAGCCTGGCC